AGTAAGGTTGATGCTAGGGTTCATGGAGTTAAGGTCTTCGACATAAACCAAGAACCTGCTTTTGATGACAACTATGTGGTTACATGGGGACAAGATCATGTATTCAAATCCAACCAAGGCAAAGATGTTCAACTCTCCATGGATAATTATTCAGGTTACTTGATTTTCCTTTCTTTAAGATAATAATATATGGTCTAGTGGTTAAATGACTCATTCGACTTCTTGCTATATTTTTGCTTTCTTTTTGCGATACGATATCATTTTTAGAATCATTGTGTGAATATTCATTTTATAATTACACGTACAGGTTCTGGCTTTGCGTCCAAAAACTACTATGGATCAGGATTTTTTCAAATGAGAATCAAATTGTTTGAAAACAATTCTTCGGGCGTTGTCACTGCCTATTACGTTAGTCTTAATTTATCCTCTTCTTTCTCATATAGTCATTTTGCATGAATTCGTTTGAATTCTCAACATTTGCTGAAACCTTATTTTGTATATTATTTGTGAACTGGTTATAGTTGACTTCCAAAGGAGACACCCATGACGAGGTTGACTTTGAGTTCTTGGGGAACATAAAAGGCAAACCAGTAACGTTACAGACAAATGTGTACACCGAAGGCGTAGGATACAAAGAACAAAGGTTTTCTCTTTGGTTCGATCCGACCTCAGATTTCCACACTTATGGCATTCTATGGAATCCATACCATATCGTGTACGTACTTTGTTCTTTAATTTCTACAAATATTATTTACAAAATGCTAGGTCTAAAAAAACAAATGTGTAATTATGATTATTACTTTTGATATGTATAAAAGCAACGACAAGGTGATTTGATAATAGGTTATATGTGGACAATATCCCAATAAGAGTGTTCAATAATAACACAAGCAAAGGTGTGAGCTATCCATCTAAGCCTATGCAAGTGGTGAGTAGCATGTGGAACGGTGAAAACTGGGCAACAGACGGTGGCAAAACCAAGATTAATTGGGCTTATGCTCCTTTTAAGGCTTATTTCCAAGGTTTTTCGGACAGGGGTTGCCACCTGGATGAACTGAGTAACGATGCCAAAGCTTGTGGTTCAACAATGTATTGGTGGAACACCATGAAGTATAGTGAGCTAAACACTTACGAGCAAAAGGCCTACAAGAATGTGAGAGAGAAATATATGAACTATGACTATTGTTTTGATAAGGCTAGATTTCCTGTTCCTCCTAATGAATGTCGATATAATTAAACAAAATTATAAAATGATGATAATATGAATCTCTTTCGCTAAGATTTTTATGATCTTTGATGAAATTTAAACATAAAGCTCTTTTCGTTTTTATGATCAGTTTGAACAACC